GCAGGAATTAATCTAATTGTATCTATAATACAAGGAATATAACATACAAGGAAAGCTCAGAATAAGTAAATAATCCCTTTAAAGAGGCAATCAAAATTATTTGGTTTTTCTAGAGTTCCCATTTACTGTAATAAAAGAAGGAAATGACTCTAGACAGAGAACTATCCTTTGCAGATAAAGTACCTTAGAAGAAATCTGACAAGAAGTTTATCAGAACTTTAGGGAGAAAACTATAAAAATTACTAAAAAGACATATAAAATACCTGATAATGAGAAGGTACAATGTTCAAAGGTCAGAACACTTGATAATGAGATGTGAATTCTCCCTTAAAATTAACCAGGTTTTTTTTTTTCCAAATAAGTATCTGATAAAGCTGTTAGTATACAAATATATTATTTATATTGACATGACTGTTAAATTTTTATTCTATAACAAATAACTCTGTTATATAATGAATGTAAGATCAGTTTTTGCTTATGGTTATTATTAACAATGAGTAACATTTATGTAGTGTTTATAATACAGGAAGAAGCATTCCTCTTTCCAGGAACTGACAAAAGGCCAGTGAAGCACAGCAGGCAAGGGAAAGTGAGGTGTATAAAGCGACCTTGTAAACAATGTCAAGAATTTTGGAAGATCATTGAAGACTTTTAAGGCGGAGAGTGATATAATTAAACTTTTCTTTTTAAAAAGGGATCTCTCTGTCTGCTCTGTGGATTGGAGTTGGCCAAAAGTTGGTATAGCAAGATGGGCTAGCTTTGAGAACAGTCCAGGGAAGGAATAGTAGTGACTTAGAATATGGCTGTGACAGAAGAAATGATAAGCAGTGGTTGTTCTGGAAAGATTTTTTTTAATTAGGTACTATTCCTTGACATAGGATATGCTGAAACAGGACCAGGTTTATAGAAGGCAGATTATTAATTCAGTTTGGATGCATTGGCTTGGAGATTCCTAAGAGAAATCCAAGTGAGGCTGTCAGGTCATTAACAAGAACCTGAAGCTCAAGGGGTGGTCTGTGGTCCAGGTGGTAATTGTAGGCATTGATGTGGAGAAGATGGTCCTAGAGATGAAGTACAGGGTGAGAAGGGCAGAGGGATGTAGGTGTGAGCCCCATTAGGTAAAGATCTGATAAGAAATCTCTATCTGACATATTCATTCTAATGAAACCATTAGAAAGTCAGGATTTTTACAATATGAATAAAGAACCTACGTTCAAAAATGATACTAATAATCATCTATTTAAGTTTCATTTAATTAGCTTTTATTTGCCTACTTTATTTCATTTCCACATAATAAATGAGATATTCCATAAGATGACAAATTGCCCAGTCTGACTTGTGACACTGAATGATTCTTAGTATTCTATTAGCAGTAAAACACAATTACCCCACCCAATATTTCAAGTGTTATAAAATATAATAGTCTTTTTAATAGGCATTTAAATAATAATTCCTAACTTTTCCTCAAATTTATAATTAATGTGTGAGTATAGTTAGGAAGTGTTTTTAAAGTAGGCGTCTGACCTCCCTGACTATATTTATTAAGCTACATTGAGTAACAAATACATAATTAGACAGATGAATGGAACAGAGCAATCTAGATAGACCCTATATACATGAATATCCTTTTCAATGAAAGCACCAACATAAATGAGTAGGAAACCAAAAGGATTATCACTGATGCTTTGCAGTTGCCAAGACTGAGGCTTGTTAAAAACCACTCAAGAATTCACTTCCTATGTCTATATTGGCTTTGGTTTTTATAATAGTCTGCTTCATACCAGAGGTGAACTGGTCCACACGAAGGCTTCCTTCCTGAGTTCTAGGCATCCACCAAATCTCAAATGACGCAGAAGCCTTCAAACCTTCTTAAGTCCTTCATTCATCCTTGCTGTCAGTTCTCCATCACTTGTCTTCCTTAGATGTGACTGATCATTTATCAAGTCTCTGACTTGATTTAGGATATAATCATCTCTGAAAAACTACCACAATGGTTTTCCAACTATTGTTGCCAAAGGCTCCTTTCTCTCCTTCGAACCTCATGCTGTCATCAGTGACATTTTTAATATTCTTGTCATGACGGTTTTCCTTTGAAAAAATCTTACATGTTTCTACTGTCATTAGAATCTAGAATCTTGAAATGGTGTTAAGGCTTCTCCACAGTTCTATCAGATCTTCCTCAATTTATAGCCATTCCTGTGTAGAAAAGAAAACACTGGTTTTAGACAGCCCATTGCCTACTTATTACGTTTGAAGCTCTTAACACAGGATCTGATAACACAGTATGTGCCTTATGTGTGTTGCTCTCCCATCTCTGTTACAGAAACTTGTTTCACTGTCAGAATTCTTCCAAATCTCCCCTTGTTAGCAGGAAAATTGTCTTGATTTACTTCAAGTGCCCTGTACTATTGAATAAATATGAAATATGGTTCTTGTTTTTAACAACATGAGCAGTTTTGCAACTTACCTCTAACACCAGTTAGATTTCTCATTAGCTGATAACATAGACTTTTAATTTCAAAAGACTAAATTCAAGCATAACAATGACTAATAGTTTAGATTTTATGAAAACAATCCATGTCATTTTCTATGGTACCTCTTTTATCTGGGTAAGTATGAACCATGCATCAACCACACATCAGCAATGATGTATAATTCATTTTCATACGTTATATAATAAACTCATCACTCATCTTATATGTTATTATGAAACAACTTTTATGGACTGTCTCTTCCTATAGGAAAAAAACCTTGAAGATAATTTACAAAGTTTGGCTACAGAATTAGCTCCAATTTATAAGCAGTATGCTCCAGTTGCTTACCAAAACCAGGTATGTTTTGGTTCCTTATACAGTACTCTTAAACATGGTTGAAATTTATATCTAAACAATGTCATTGTTAATAGAAAATTTTTTCAAATCTGAACTTAATGTAGATCTTTTATCAGACAGCTTAAAAAATTGTCTAGCGTTTTTTAAAAAGTCTATTATGGGGATTCCCTGGTGGCGCAGCAGTTGAGAGCCCACCTGCCAATGCGGGGGATACGGGTTCACGCCCCGGTCCGGGAAGATCCCACATGCCGCAGAGCGGCTGGGACCGTGAGCCATGGCCGCTGAGCCTGCGCATCCGGAGCCTGTTGTTCCGCAACGGGAGAGGCCACAACAGTGAGAGGCCCGCGTACCGCAAAAAAAAAAAAAGTCTATTATGGCAATTGAATTAAATCTCCAGAGTGACAAAGTTATGATTGTTTCTAGGAATAAAACTTATAAAAGCAGAAATGCATCATCAAGAAAGTAATTGGGAAGTGGTGGAGATGTGGAGATGTTGGTCAAGGGGTACAAACTCCCACCTATAAGATAAATATGACCTGGTGGGGGCTTCCCTGGTGGTGCAGTGGTTAAGAATCCACCTGCCAATGCAGTGGACACGGGTTCGAGCCCTGGCCCGGGAAGATCCCACATGCTGCGGAGCAACTAAGCCTGTGCGCCACAACTACTGAGCCTATGCTCTAGAGCCAAACAATGACAACATTTTACAGATGCAGTTGAAATCCTCTTTGACAACCAACCTCAGTCCTATTACCACTGAATCTTTCCAGAGGCAGCTATGATCATGAGCTTGGTGTGTATTTTAAAATACAATTTTATATATATAAAAAAAAAAAAAAAAATATATATATATATATATATATATATATATATATATATATATGACCTGGGGATCTGGTGCCCAGCTTGGTGGCTATAATTAACAATACTATATTATATACTTAAATGTTTTAAAGACATCCTAAATGTTACTTCTACACACCAAATAATCGTAATTATGTGAACAGATTGCAATGTTCACTAACCTTATTGTGGTAATCATTTTGTAATACATACATGTATCTAATCATCACATTGTATACCTTAATCTTACATATGTTGTATGTCAGGAATACCTCAATAAAACTGAGTTGGGGGAACACATTGTTTTAAAAAGAAATGAAAAGACAACCACAGATTGGGAGAAAATACTTGCAAATCATATATCAGAGAATGGAGAAAATAAGTGTGTAAAATACCTAATTTTAAACATAGGGAATTCCCTGGCAGTCCAGTGGTTAGGACTCTGTGCTTTCACTGCCGAGGGCCTTGATTCAATCCCTGGTTAGTGAGCTAAGATCCTGCAAGCAGAGTGGTGCAACGAAAAACAAAAACAGAAACATAACTAGAAGTCCATATTTTTAAAATATTTAATAAAACTTAAAATATTTATTTGTATTATCATGAATAACAAGCTCTCTGTTAAATTCCAACCTTTCATTTAAAAAAGTTATTAATTTACTTTCTATACTGGTTCATGAATATATATGTACATCTACTTTTTATAGACATTGAAAACTGGATACATGATCAAAGCACTGTATTACTCTTTCTTCCTAATGAAATATTTCAGGCTACTGTTCTTGTTTATCTACCCCCAGCAGGTATTAATGCCCTCACCTTGCCTTCAGTGATTGCCATTTTAATCCATGTAGTCTCAAATTCTTTACCCTGAATATTACTAAACTAGGCAATCACTAAAATAATATACTGTAGTGTCAGATATCTCTGAAATTATAAAGTTAATTATAAATTAACTCATAAACTTTATCAGAAAGTGAGTTTTACTCTTTATTGAAGATGATTCTTTCTATCTCTTAAAACCATGGGTCATACATTATTTTTCAGGTGGCGCTTGAACACGCTGCTCAAGAATGTCGGCTTGGCAAGAAAGAAGGTCGTCCTTTCTCTGGGGTCACTGCTTGCCTAGACTTCTGTGCCCACCCCCACAGGGACATTCACAACATGAATAATGGGAGCACAGTGGTATGTACCTGGGTGGCTTTTGATTCTAAAGGCTCCATCACTGTATGTTCAAGCTGAGGTCCTTAAGGATGATTATTGTGACAAATCCTATTTTATGTCTGTTCCACATAGTATATATCGATAGTGCTCCCAAAAATTATAGAAACAGCCTGAAATACTTGGTTGAAAGTCTTGAGTTAATACATTTAATTGTGGTAGGTTTGTTGGGATGTAGAACTACATGATTATTCAAAGCAACCATTCTGTGCTATCAAACTGGTAGATAGGAAGTTAAGCAACTTAATGTTTCTTGCCATCTGTACTTCAGCTTTTTTGTGAGGGAACCGTGCCAAGTTTACCATCCTTTTCATTAATATTGGTTCTTAGTGCTAGTATGTAGAAATATTTAAAAGAAATATTTGCACATATTTGTGCATACTATGTTTATAGCCATGAAAAGAATCACATGCCCATAGCAAGAAGTCGATCAAGATAATCTTAAATTAAGGAGAAGACCACAGGAAAAATCGTGCAATAGTCCTTTTATAAGGGAAATGAGTTTGCTTCAAGTAGTTCTCTTCTTACCTAGTAAAACAGATTAATAGAGAGTGATTGCCTCTATTTCTGCACTACACCATTTTGGCCTCTTAGAAAACATAGCTATGATTATTACATTCTGATTGGAAGTGTACCGTCTGATCCATCAAAAGGCAGCCTTCCTTCCTTATTTGCTCAGTGAGGTCTATCAGTAACAGACTAAGGAGCCAAAACAACATTTTGCCTATCACACCTTTTCACTGATGTTGCCTATGGTCTCTGAGACCAATGTTATTTCCAAATGCTGAAATTTTATAAATCCATCCAGGTGAATCTTAGCCAAAGAGTGATTCAACATCATGCTTGGCTAGTACATTTTATGTGAGTTGCTCTTCATTAGGGAATATTAGTGATCAGGTTGGATTAGGTTCAGAGTCAAACTAAGTTTTAGTTCCTCTTCTCATGTTTGTTTGTTTGTTTGTTTGTTTACTTATTTATTTATTTTTGGCTGTGTTGGGTCTTTGTTGCTGCGCAAGGGCTTTCTCTACTTGAGTAAAGCGAGGGCTGCTCTTTGTTGTGGTGTGTGGGCTTCTCATTGTGGTGCCTTCTCTTGTTGTGGAGCACGGGGTCTAGGTGCACAGGCTTCAGTAGTTGTGGCACGCGGGATCAGTAGTTGTGGCCCACGGGCTTAGTTGCTCCGCGGCATGTGGGACCTTCCCGGACCAGGGCTCGAACCCATGTCCCCTGCAGTGGCAGGTGGATACTTAACCACTGTGCCACCAGGGAAGTCCACATTATTTAAATATTAAGAAATAGTGTGATTTATAAGCTAAAGTAATATCTTTTTATTAGTTAATATTTAATATGAAGGTAGTGAACAATTCAGTGACTATTCCTTAACTTAGGCAATGAAATAAGACGGAATGTAACAAAGAAGGTGATTTAAAATATTATAAAATGCATAAACATGTATAATATGTACTTACAAAATCAACTCAACATTATACTGGTCTGCTTACAAACAGTTGATAAGTTATTCAAATTGAAAAGCATTGAGTGGTTTGATATATAAAATATTTTTCCAAAATGAATGACTATACCAGCAGTAACCAACTGAAAACAGTTCCCTTTCACAATGGCAACAATAAGAAGGTAGGAATAACTATTATGAATGTGCAGGATCTCTAGTTCCCATTTCATGTTTTCTTCCTATCAGGTCTGCACTTTAACACGAGAAGATAACCGCTCATTTGGTGTTATTCCTCAAGATGAGCAGCTGCATGTACTTCCTCTTTATAAACTTTCAGACACAGATGAGTTTGGCTCAAGGGACGGAATGGAAGCCAAGATCAAATCTGGGGCCATCATGGTCCTCGCACCCCACCGCAGAAAAAGAACACGATTTACTCAGCCAGTTCCTCGTTCTGGGAAGAAGAGAGCAGCAATGATGACAGAGGTTCTTGCACATAAGATAAGGGCTGTGGAAAAGAAATTTATTCCTCGAATCAAGCGGAAGAATAATTCAATGACAAACAACAGTAAGGCTTCATCGCTGCCACTTTTAGGTAAGGCTTATTGAGCCTGCTAATTTTCTGTGCACAACTTTCACTGGCATTTCGGTTTGCACTTGTCTTTGCATCTTATTTTTCTTTATTATCTTTGCCACTCTCTTAGGAGTGAGGCATTATGAAAAGAAAAACTTTACATCAGATATCTACCAATCAAGTTAGCTAATTATTTTTATATAGTTTGTTTAAAGTTTAAACTAAGACAGTGAATATATTTCTACATACTTGCCAAAATTAAAAGCCAACAAAAAGGTGACCCATCAGTATTTCTTGATATTTTTTTCTCTATTTATATTCTTTTTTTTTAAAAAAAAAAGCAAAAACGAAACATGTTCTTATTGTTTGTTCCCCAGCTATTTTGAAACAAAGCCCCTTCTCAGCATACAAAGTCTTACTTCGTCAGCTTTTTTTTTTTTCTTCATCAGCTTTAGCATCAGTTTAAGTAGTCCATTCAACAAATATTACCGGGCACTACTTTGAACTGTTCTAGGTATCGGAAATGTAGCAGTGAATAAGAGGGGACATAGTGCTGTGAAAGAATTGCATTTAAACAGGGTTGTCAAAAAAGGATTCACTGAGAATGAGGCATTTGAGTAAAGTCCTAAAGGAAAATGAGGATCAGCAATTTTTTTTTTTTTTTACGGTACGCGGGCCTCTCACCGCTGTGGCCTCTCCCGTTGCGGAGCACAGGCTCCGGACGTGCAGGCTCAGCGGCCATGGCTCACGGGCCCAGCCGCTCCGCGGCACGTGGGATCCCCCCGGACCGGGGCACGAACCCGTGTTTCCTGCATCGGCAGGCGGACTCCCAACCACTGCGCCACCAGGGAAGCCCTCAGCAATGTTTTTATTTGGAGAAATAGCATTCCAGGTAGAAGAAGTGGCAAGTGCAAAGTTCAGGAGACAGGAATTTACCTTGAATACTTGATGTAAGCAAAGAGGCCAGTATGGTTGGAGCACAGTGTGAAATGGGGGGAATTGTAGGATGTGAGATCAGAGAGGTAAGAGGGGCATCTGAGCAATTCCTCTTGGGCTTTGTAGATTGCTGTCAAGACTTTGGCCTATATTTGAGTGAGAAATAGAGAAGGGCTATGATCTGACTCAAACCTAACATCCCAGTTACTGGATTGAAACTAGAGTCAAGTTGGGTAGAGAACAGAATAGTAGGGTGATCATAAACAGGCTATCTTAACAACTCAAGAAAGAGATGATGGAGCTTGGACCAGAGTGACTAGTGAGGAGGACAGGAGAAATGTCTGATTCTGGATGTTTTTAATGTAGAGTCAATGGGATTTCTTTTCTTTTCTTTTTTTTTTTAATTACTGTATTTTATTTATTTATTTTTGGCTGCGTTGGGTCTTCGTTTCTGCGCACAGGCTTTCTCTAGTTGCAGGGAGTGGGGGCTACTCTTCGTTGTGGTGAGTGTGCTTCTCACTGTTGGTGGCTTCTCGTTGTGGAGCACAGGCTCTAGGCATGTGGGCTTCAGTAGTTGTGGCACGTGGGCTCAGTAGTTGTGGCTTGCAGGCTCTACAGTGCAGGCTCAGTAGTTGTGGTACACGGGCTTCATTGCTCCGTAGCATGTGGGATCTTCCTGAACCAGGGATCGATGCCATGTCCCCTGCATTGGCAGGTGGATTCTTAACCACTGTGCCACCAGGGAAGTCCTGGGGATTTCTGATAGATTTAAGTCTGGAGTATGGACCAAAAGAAGTGTCAAGATTTACCCTGATGTTATTGGCTGGAAGAAACTGGAAGGATGGTTAAACCACCAACTATCATGAAGAAAGGAGGGAGAAGAACAGATTTGGCAAGATAAAGAGCGAAATCAGAGGCCCACTTTTGGACATGGTAAAAGTTCGAGACACCTGTAGACATTCAAGTCTAGACGTTAGGTAAGCAGTTGAGTAAGAGTGTAATTCAGAGAACAGGTTCAGGCTGGAGATAAAATTTAAGAGGTCAACTGGATAGAGATGGTATTTGAAGCCTTGAGTGTGAATGAAATCACAGAGGAGGAGGTGAAAAGGAAATTTGATCGAGGACAAATCCTGGGAATTTTCAATTTGTACAGGTTTCAGAGATGTGGATGAACCAGCAAGAGAGACTTAGACTGGGAAGGTGTGGTGTGGTAGGCTTTCTAAAACCACAGAGAGGAGTGATCAGCCCTGTCAAATGCTGCTCCTGTGGCAAGTGAGAGGAAAACTGAGATTTTATCATTAAATTTGAAGACGACTGCTAGAGCAGAGTCTGCAGAACAGTGGTGAGAATGAAGGAAGTAGGTTTATAGGGAAATGGGAGAGAAATGGAAGACATGCATGTTGGCTATAAAGGGGGTCAACTGAATGGAGTGAAGATTATAGAGTTGAGGGGTTTTTCCTTAAATGGAAATTTAAAAAAATGTACAAAGTGAGTGAATTACATAAAGAATTCCACTTCCCTCATAGACCCCTAGTTTAAAAGTTTTTCAATACATAGCCCCATTCTATGTCATCTGTACCATTACCCAGGCCACATGGGTATGAAAATATAAAGATACAACTTGTGCAGTTTTTTTGTTGTGTTTTTTTTTTTTGGTAACAAATTGTAGAAGTCGTATCTTATCCACTGAATCATCTTCTATGTGTCACTAAAAGAGAAGGAATCTTTATACCCACAATACCTAAGACAAAACAAACAAAAATCAAATAATGCCTTAATACCAATCAGTGTTCAAATTGCTCCACTTGTCTCCTAATTGATTTTTTGTTTTTTACATTTGGTTTGTTTAAATCAGTTTCCAAACAAGGTCACACATTATATTTAGTTGATATGTCTCTTATACATTTTTTTTAATTTAAAGCTTGCTTTTCTTCTTTTCCCTCGTTTTTTCATTTTTCATTATAGCAGAAACCATTGTCCATAGAGGCAAATTCAACTTCAGTTTAAAAAAAAAAAAATTACTATGGCCAGAACAGTATCTGTGATTTATATACTCCTATTTCTTCACATCAGGAAGTACATAGTGTTTGGTGTGTCTTTTTGTGATGTTAAGACTAGGTCAGGGGACTTCCTCAGAGGTCCAGTGGTTAAGACTCAGCGCTTCCACTGCAAGTGGTGCGGGTTCGATCCCTGGTAGGGGAACTAAGATCCCACATGCCACATGACACAGCCGAAAGAAAAAAGACTAGGTCAGGTGTTGTTAACCTAATTCACTGATTATAATGTTCCCTAACAGCTTTCTACCTAATGATTTTAGAAATATTTATGGTCATATTACATATTCTTTATTTCATTAGGAGTTTGTCATTCTTTTTCCACTTTTTAAATCTTCTTTTAAAAAGAAATTGTCCTTGTAATAACTTGTTAATTCTGAGGTATGGGTAATTAAAGAAATCAGAATAAATGCTTAGCTATTTGCCTTTATTCACCAGTGTTAACAATACAAGTTAGTTCCCAAGCATTTTCCAGTGTGATCAATTGTTTTTCTTTTTTTTTAATTTAGTATCATTTTGAACTTATGTTTTTTTTTAACATAGTTTATATTTCAATGTATATTAAGAAGGTTTTTTTTTCCACTATATTTGAAAATGCTTTAAAATCTTCAAATTCATATGCTTTCATTCAAATTCCTGCCTTGGATCAGTAGAAACACTTCAAGGTGGCTTCTGATTCTTTTGTCATGACCCCGATTATCTTTGGTAACTTCCTTAGTTTCTGACAAGATGTTCCAGGTTCCTCTTATGTAATCCTGCCCCATATCTAAAATCAGCCATTCCTCCAAGGAGCCTAAAAAAACACTATTAATTTAAACTGACATTCAAACTAAGAATTAGAGTGTATTCTTTAACTTCTTCGATTTTTATATTTTTAAGAGAAGTTGTTTGTTTAAGATGAGACAACTGACCGTGCAGACATTTATATAACACTGAGAAAGACTCAATAGAGATAGTGAAGAGGCAAGGCAAGGGACAATTATCATTCCTTTTTGCTTGTAGTTCCACTTTACAGATATTTAATTTAGGTTTATTTTAAGATTCACATATCTGGTTCCATGCTGCTTGTTAACAGTAGCCATAACATTTTCATCTTTGGGACTTCTCTGCCCCTTAGCACTGTATCATGAGCATCTTTTCAGAAGTCCTAGCTGCATATCTATTCTTTTATATATATATATATATATATATATATATATATATATATATATATATAGAGAGAGAGAGAGAGAGAGAGAGAGAGAGAGAGAGAGAGAGATACCCTATTAGTAGCCAAATGCACAATATTTGGCCTAAAACTTCTTATCCTTTTGTAATATTACCCATGAAAGCTTTTTTACAGGTTTTTCCAATTAAATAAAAGACTCATCATATTTTAAATCTTTCCTTCCTGTGAGTTGTACTTTGTTGACAACTTAACCTCTAAAATAGTAGATGCAGCCACAGATAGTAGCACAGATTTCTTGATATACCACTCCTTGGGTCCTGTATATAAGTTCTCTTTAGACATGAGAATTATTGTGTCTCCAGGTTATATCATCTGAGGGAAAATTGCAGATCTTCTGAATTAGATAAATGTTTACTATTATATTAATTATTTTAAAACAAGACAACTTTACTTTGCTATTTCTTGGTCCTTAAAATCTACTACTTTTGCCTTGCAAACATTTTATTAGAACATCAAAACAGGGAGAATGTCCTCAAGAAAAATGTTTTCATTTGATGTTAGGTTTGTGTGGATATGTCAGAGCAGAGGGCCCACCTTTTGTCCAATGTCATAATAATGACCTACCTACTTGGTGAGAAAGAAACAGAGCTTAAATGCACTTGTTCTGAGGGGTAGGAATAGCTTATTTATGTGACTTTGCTTTGCCTAATAATTAACTTTGCCGGTTATGATGCTTTCATTCCTCAGAAATCTTTATAAACTGTTACTTTCTTTAACATTTTCGAAAATGAGATCATGCAATACCTAAAATGTATCTAAACAGCTCTTTGGGTAGTGAAATATTGCTCTTGGTCACCATATTATCACTTGCACTGTATTCTGATGTATGGTTTTAATATTTACTTCATAGCCAATTGGGTCATTTCCAATATCTTACCATTTTAGACAATGGATATCCTTCTGGCTAAATTTGTGAACTTATGATTATTTCCAAAGTAAATAATTTTTTAAGAAAAAAATATTGGGTGAAAAAGCGTATGTAAACTACCTACAATTTTTAACGTGTGCATATGTCAGGCTTAAAGTAAATAGAACAGAACTGGCCAAATTGCCATCATCAGTGTTTTGTTCTATTATTCTCTGTACATCTCTTTAAAAATACTGTTTAAAGACAACAGCTACCAAAAGTAGTTTGTATTTACCTTCACATTTGGTGTCCTTTTCTCTGTTTAGGGAATAAAACAGAGACTGTGCAACCTGAAATAAAAAGTGAAACTGAACCCCACCTTATCTTCAAAGGTTCGGACAACACTAAAACCTACTCACCGACCCCATCCATTCCTCACCCAGTGAAAGAGGCACACTTAGCTCCAGGCTTCTCCTGGTCCCCTAAGACTGCTCCGGTCCCAACAGTTCCTTTTAAGAACGATGCATCAGTTTCGTACGGGTTTTCAGAAAGAGGTAGCAATCCCCACTGCACAATGCCTTCTGTAAGACACAGTGGTGCTAATGTAGCTGCTGGGGAGTGTGCTGAAATTGCACAGCCTGGTGAAGTGGTTCCTCTTTCCACCTTGTCTACTCCCATGACAGATTCCCCGGCTTATTCTGAGCCTCCCACTGGTCCATCTGAGCAGCTAACTTCTGATCAGCCAAACCAGCAGCCCCCGTTCATCCCTTCTCCTCATGAACTTGCTTCTTCTCTGGCGGAAGAAGACGAGCAGCATTCTGAGGCAGACGAGCCTCCATCAGATGACCCCCTATCAGACGACCCCCTGTCACCTGCTGAGGAGAAACTGCCCCACATTGTTGAGTATTGGTCAGACAGCGAGCACATCTTCCTGGATGCCAATGTTGGTGGGGTGGCCATAGCGCCCGCCCACGGCTCTGTTCTGATCGAGTGCGCCAGGCGAGAGCTTCATGCCACGACTCCTGTCGAGCACCCCAACCGGAATCACCCTACACGCCTCTCTCTTGTCTTCTACCAGCACAAAAACCTGAATAAGCCCCAACACGGTTTCGAACTAAACAAGATTAAGTTCGAGGCGAAAGAAGCAAAGAATAAGAAAACTAAAGCCTCCGAGCAGAAAGACCAGGCAGCTAACGAGGGTCCTGAACTGTCCACTGAAGTTAATGAATTTAACCAGATTCCTTCCCACAAAGCGTTAACATTAACCCATGACAATGTTGTCACCGTGTCCCCTTATGCTCTCACATATGTTGCGGGGCCCTATAACCATTGGGTCTGAAGGCTTTTCTCCCCTTCTTAATGCCTTTGTGAGTGCAGTGTATTTTTTCAAGGTGCTCTTAAAAGAAAGTCATGTTGTCGTTTACTATATCTTCATCTCACCCATTTGAAGGCTGAGGTAAAAAAAAAAAAAATGGGGGGTGGGTATTTCTTAACTGTGACTATATTTTGACAATTGGTAGAAGGTGCACATTTTAAGCAAAAATAAAAGTTTTATAGTTTTAAATACATAAAGAGATGTTTTGGTTAGGTGTTAACCTTGGTAGAATCACTCAGTTTGGTGCTTTAAATTGTTTACTATGAAACGAGTCATTTTTAGAGGATTTTAACAGGTTCATGTGCTATGATGTAAAATTAAGACACACAGTGTTAACTCTACACAGCTTCTGGTGCTTAACCACATCGACACAAAAATAAGCTGAATTATTATTTCATGGTGCCATTGTTCTAACATCTTCCAATCATTGCTAGAAACTCGGCATATTCCTTTGAAATAAACCAATGAAATGTTTTCTCTCTTAAAATCTCTCTCCTGTATAAAATAATTCATTATTGTTGGTGATGGTTGGAGGCTGTTCATAAATTGTAAATATATATTTTAAAAGCACTTTCTATTTTTAAAAGTAACTTGAAATAGTATAGTATAAGAATCCTATTGTCTGTTGTTTGTGCATATTTGCATACAAGAGAAATCATTTATTCTTGCTGTGTAGAGTTCCATCTTGTTACCTGCAGTATGTATTCTAATCATGTATATGGTTTGTATTTAAATGAGTCCTTTCTCATTCAAAGATTAGCTACTTATATAAAATAGTTAGGTCATGCGAAAATGGTTAATTCTCTCTAAAACTGGAATTAGGAATCATATTACCAATATTGATTAACTTTTCTTTGGAACTAAATAAGAATGGTCTCTTCTGATTTATTGAACAACAATGGCCCTAATTTACTTTCACCCCAGCTTTCTCAATATAATCCATGAAAGGTGTTTCCAAAAGGAGATGAGACATAATAGGATTCTGAAGAGTCAAATGCTTCTAAAGTTTCAAGGTGATAAAATACAAAAATTAAGTAGCAAGAACCTTATCCACCCCAAATTGCCTTATTCATTCTGAAAGTCATTCTGGTCCAGAATAAGAATAAATGTCCTGTAGAAATCTTTTGAAAATAAATTCCCTATCATCGTCATCACACACACCCCCACACTGTAAACAAACAGTAGGAATGGTATTATAAGCATGGTTTGTCCATTAAGAGCTAATCCAAAGTAGTTCATCTAAGTATATTGTTCTGGGGAAATGTTAACTCATGTTCTTCTAGGTAATGGGAAAATAGGCATTCCATTTACTTTAGTCCCCCCCCCCCATTATTTTTTCCCATTACTTTATTAACTCATTTTATAGCAAAACAAAAGTAATTGCCCAAACAAAGAACAAGAAGAAATTTCAATGAAATACTTGATTCTGTTAAAATGCAGAGGTGCTATAACATTCAAAGTGTCAGATTCCTTGGGAGTATGGAAAACCTACTGGTGCTTCTCCCTTGGAAATGCCATAGGAAGCCCACAACCGCTAACACTCACAATTCTGGTGCAAAAGCAAAAGTTCCAACAAGCTCTCTAAAGGAAAACTCATTGTAACTTATATTAAAATAATATGTGGTGCAAAGTATCAGTTTCAAGCTTTTGACTAATTTTGACTAAAGGAATATGAAGGGATTGTAAATAACAAAATGTCCATTGATAGACTATCATCTTGTCGAGTAGATTTCTGCTTCTTGAATATGTAAAATAGAGTAATTCATTGACTTGTTTTAGTATTTTGTGTGCCTTAGATTTGTTTTAAAACATGTATATTTTTGTGAGCCTAAGGTTACTTATACATATAAGTATATAAATAAGTGATTGTTTATTGTTTCAGCTGCTTCAATAAGATATTACTAGTATTAGACTATCAGGAATACACCCTTGTGATATTTTGTTTTAGAATTTAGGCCTTAGCTCCCACTAGAAATTATTTCCTCACCAGGTTTAATGGATAAAGTTATAAGACCCTTTATCCATCCACCCATCTATCCGTTCTTCCATTCAATTTTTATTGACTGTCCCCCAAATTTAAGTATTACCTTTTGTTTTTCTTTGTCACCACCCATGACATTGTAAACTTGAAGAATTAAAATCCTAAAAGATAATCTAAACACATATTTTTCAAAAATAGCCAATTTCCTTCAAAACAATCCATTGTGATACATCTGCAGCAATTCAAATCAGTTTGTCACCAACTTTAAATAAATTCCTTAACAGTCTGAACTTGAAGCACCAATGTTGAACTAGGGGAATATTTGGATTTGTGAAGTTTGTTGCAATTTACCAAAACAAGTACATGAAAATACCCTATATCAACTAAAATATTTCCATTCTGTTATTGTAAGTAATACCATGAATGGCCTGCCTCAACTGATAACCCCTTGGTGGGACCCACATATGATTCCTTCCTTGTTGAACTCTATTTCCTAAATTTCACAGTGTACCATCCCGTTGTTTGCCCTGTGACTTTTTTTTTTTTTTTTCAAAGCTCATGCTTATTCAGTGTCCTGCAGCATTGTGATTGTATGCTGGCTATACTGTTTTTAGAATGCTCTTTCTCATGAAGCAAGGAAATAAATTTGTTTGAAATGACATTTTCACTCAGAAAACTGGTCATCTAACATTATTTCTACACTTATGTTTTACTGTACTATCATCTTTTGTTTTACCCCTTTTATAGCACTCGTTGGGTTTTTAATCTTCTGCCTTTGTTCATGGTATGATAATTGAATTCACTGATACTTGACTCCCAAGTTAGCCCAACCTGTTCATAGTAGTTACAGAGTTACCAACTATAATGAGAGAATAATTCCTACCTGTTGTAGAATCCTACAAAATGTCATGCTGCCCTTCAAAATCCCGCTTCTCATGGATCTCAGGCCATCGATGAAAAGTTTTTCTTGTGCTTGTCAGCCTCACCTACATCTTTCCAATTCATCCACAAAGTACCAATACATCATGTCATAAACCTGATTGAAATATATTATTGGAAAGTGAGGCTAGCTGAAAATGTTTAACTATAGGTAAATTTTTGCAACATGTTAGCAAAATGTTTGCATCTGAAATAACCTTCCACATCTTTAGTATGCAATCTGCATGTAATTTCATTTGTTAAATATAGAATTTCAACTAGATGAGATTCATAAGCAATTAGACATAACCCCACTGCATAGTTAATTGAATGCATACCCCTGTGTAAATGAGATACTGACTTAATTCATATGAAGTAACCTACTTTCTAATGTTAGTACTTCAGTGGACTCCTACTGATAATCATTTATTTCACAATAGCATGTATGAAAATCATCCCAATCTATTTAAATTAGTCTTCTTAAAACAAATTATATCTTTTATCTGGAACAAACTTTTGACGTTGCATGACAACTTTCACCGAATATGGGCACAGCATTTCCTTTGAATGTGCCAAGTAAATCAGTAGCTGTATGTGACCTTTAATATATAGCTACCTTCTATTTCACAACTTCTTGATGCATGGAAATCTTTTTTGTCTAGATTTAGTGCAACTGGGAATTTTGATCTTTTGTAGAAATTTTTGATGAGGATTGTGAAATAAGGTAATATAGAGGCCTCTCACAGCCCTGGAAGACACCTTAGAAGACATACAATTCAATCACTGGAGCCCAGACAGCAGATGTGAGTGTCAATGTGCAATTATGTTTGTAATTAAAATTTAAACAGTCAAGTGAAGGCCACTTTGTGGTTAAGAGGACTGTAGGAAAACAGACTTGATCTGCTCACCCACAGGGGATTTTTATCGCTGCGAAGCAACCTTATTTTTGGTACAAGTCAAAAATAAAATGGCTTTGAGTTTTTTTCTGAGTGGTTCAGGGAAAGAAATTAAGTGAAATTGGATCAAGATTTCCCTGCCTGCAGAGTTTTGTGGGCCTTGTGTGGGAAATCTAGATGACTTTTACCTATGAAGCTGTCCTGTTAATTCATCTCACAAAATGTGGCAATAGTCCTATTTGCTATTTCAATAAACAAATATCAAGTACTGATAGAGTACAGGTTTTTATTTCCCCTCGAACAAGTGTTTGGCATATATAAGGAGTTAGAAAAGACTGAATGGTTGGAATAATTGGGGAAAGTATATTTCTATTGTACATACTCCCTAGCCATAGTTGTACAGTCTATTCACACTCTTGCCTAGTTGGCCTCACAACTAAGTCCCAGCATAGTTTATTTTGATGGGACTATTTATGAGTATTAGAATAGTTTTGTTGTGCACAGCTCCTAAACTTGTCCATAAATGTATGGAACTTGTATAACTTCAATGTCAGTGGTTGTGGCACACTTATCCAAGTGATAGAATCAGTGCTCTGATTTCTGAAGAAGTCTGGATTTATCTAAATCAAATTATGCTCCATGTTGAGCTTTCTTCTAACAGGTTTAGAAAATGATGCCAGGAGCAGTCCCTCAGAACTATCTGAGAGATTGCCTCCTGGGCTTGAATTCCTCAGAAAGTCCTCTGAATAAAACACAATTCTCAACTTAAAAAAAAAAAATTAAAAAAGATGCCATCCACGGCTCTGGAATACAGTTTGGAAAGAATCAGTATGTCCTTTATCAGAAGTGGAATTTGTGTATTTTCTTAAAATGTTTTGAGAACATAGGAATCTTTGCTTTTCTCTAGTGTATAAAATAAGAGTGTAAGTTCCTCTGTTAATTTTGGAGATGGTGGAGCTCGCTTTTATGCAGGACATCCCTTTTTTTGTCCACAGTGAACTCTACAAACTTTAATTCTCTGCGTTCCAGGACCTGAATGACTTTGTTAAAATGCCAGTTTCTTCTGGGCACCCAATCAAATACCATTGTTCGCTTCAAAGGGAATGTGTTTTGTTCCTTCAAGTAATCGAAATATATTTCTAATTTTGCCACTCCTCATTTTCCCTTCT